ACTTGGATTAAGTGCCTGACTGGACTTGCACAACACATGAAAACCATCAAACGAAAAATCCAAAACATGTCCGGGGCTCCGCCTCACCCTGCTCCACCTCACCCTGCTCCACGTCACCCTGCTCCACGTCACCCTGCTTGACCTCACCCTGCTCCACCTCACCCTGAAGCTCCACCTCACCCTGAAGCTCCACCTCACCCTGCTCCTGCTCAGCCGGCTGCTTTGAGGTCCGCTGCGCATCCAGCCGTGCAGGTGGCTCCGTCGGCTGTGCTTTCGTCTGCAGAGCAGTCTGAAGCATCTGAGCCGGCTGCTGCTCTGAGGTCCGCTGCGCATCCAGCCAAGGTGCAGGTGGCTCCGTCGGCTTTGCTTTTGACTTCAGAGCAGACCGCGGGTCCATGGCAGCTCGTGTTTCGGTGACCTAGTGTGTCAGGTTTTTTTGGCTGCACCTGTACATAGAAGCCCTTCAGTGGAATTCCTGTCCTTTAAGATTTCTCTATTGCACCTATACTGCTTGTGTTTCGGTGACCCACTGTATGAGCCCTGCACTCGAGCCTCAACGGTTTCAGAGGGTCACTGGCAGAGTGGCACTTGTGCGCTGACAACAAACATCAAGATCAGAGTCAGCCAGCTCACAGTCAGAAAGCAAAGCTTCTTTGCTATCACTTGTGCTTGCGAGCATTTGGTGAAACAGTGAAGGTCGCACTGCCTTCCAAACATGATCGACGCAACGATGGGCCGACTCACAAAGCTCTGGAACACAAGAACTCCAAGAAGATCACTGGTAAGTATTCCAAGACCGCACAAGTAGCCACAATCATCCCACATCATCCTGGTGTTCCTGGGAGATCAACGGCGCTTCAGTGGGTTTAGAGGTTTAGCAAAGTAAGGGTATGGAGTCCGAGTGCATCCCAAGCCACTCAATCTGAATCCTCGGGCTCCTTGTCGGGTGTTACAACCGTGGTGGGCGATTGCGACTCTGCAGCAGACGAGGCGGCAGCTTGCAAGGCGGCAGCTTGTAACTCTTCCAGTCTCATCGCGAAGATGGCTTCTTTTGCCTGGAACAACTCAACATTTACCCCCAACCCTAAACCCTAAAGACAAACATGCACCCCTCAACCCCAAACCCGGTTTGGTCGGCCTTTGTGATTTCGTCTGCCTTCTGGATCCGGAGTTCAAGGATACGTTCCTTGTGAGCTTTCAGCAGCGCTGGCTGGAACGACTTTAGCTCCTTGAGGGATGCTTTAAGACTGCAAGTTGCAAGTGTTTGCATGTTTTTGCTTCCCGACCTGGCCTCGTTCTCTTTCAAGAGAAGGTCTCTCTCCTGCAGGAAAGCTAGGTTGACCTGGAGGGCGAAGCCATGCTGCTGCTCGAGGTCATGCTGCTGCTGCTGCAGGTTGTCAAACTTCTCCTCTGGGCAACAGCTTGAGGGATGTTTTAAGATTGCAAATTGCAAGAGTTTGCATGTTTTTGCTTCCCGACCTGGCCTTGCTCTCTTTCAAGAGAAGGTCATGCTGCTGCTCGAGGTCATCCTTCTGCTGCTGCAGGTTGTCAACCTTCTCCTCTGGGCAACAGCTTGAGGGATGTTTCAAGATTGCAAATTGCAAGTGTTTGCATGTTTTTGCTTCCCGACCTGGCCTTGTTCTCTTTCAAGAGAAGGTCTCTCTCCTGCACCAGAGCTAGATTGGCCTCGAGACCGAGGTTATGCTCCTGCTGCAGCTTGTCAAACTTCTCCTCTGGGCAACAGCAGGGTCCGGGCAAGTAGGGTCAACAAAAAACAACTCCCATGAATGGACATGCCGGGCCTGCAGGTCTTTAAGCTTCTGCTTCAAGTCGTTGCACTGCAATCGCAAGTCTTTGCGCTCCCGGCCACTGGGAGTGTTCTTCTTTCTCAGGTTCTGCTCTTTTTTCCCCATTGAGCCAGTGGAATTCCTGTCCTTCAAGATTTCTCTATTGCGCCTGTACTGCTCATGTTTGGTGACCGAGTGCGTCAGTTTTTTTGGACGCACCTGTGCATAGAAGCCTTTCAGTGGAATTCCTGTCCTTTAAGATTTCTCTATCGCACCTATACTGCTCGTGTTTCGGTGACCGACTGTATGAGCCCTGCACTTGAGCCTCAACGGTTTCAGAGGGTCACATTCTGATTCGTTTCATGACTGCTGGCAGAGTGGCACTTGTGCACTGACAACAAACCCCCCCCCCACACACACAAACCGCAAGAACAGCTCTGAAATGCATTTCTGCACTACTGTCAGCTTAGTGCCGCACAGTGTTGTTGGTGTGGAGTTCTCGAAGTGAAGCAACATGCCTTACAGCGACAAACAGGACAAAGCAAAAAGTCAACATTCACATGGCTTCACCACAGGATCAACAGTGTCTGCTCATGCCCAGAAGAACTTACCAGTATCCACCTGTTCAAGCAAACCACTAGGAAAACCCTTGCCGAGGGCAGGACTGCTGAAGAAGAACAAATCTGGGTCGTCGCAACTTGCCCAGAATGCAAGGAGAGGGGGGGTGGGGGGGGGGGGGCTGGGGTTGACAGTTTACAGTTTGGTTTGACAGCATGATCGCCCCTGTGCCCCCCTTGAGCCTGGAATGACAAATTGGGTCTTGCTCTGCTCAGGCAGCGCCTTTCGATTTTGAGCTGCACCCCTGCTCCTTGGGTTAGGGTCCAGGGTTTGTTGTTTAGGGTTTTGGGTTTCGGATTCAAGGCTGCGCCTTTCGGCACAAACCTTTTGGAGGCAGCGCCTTTCAGCACAGTGCCGACTTGCTCCTTGGGTTAGGGTTCAGGGTTTCCCTGCTGGATTACTGAGGCTTTGAAGGCACAACTATATAAGCACTGTGCTGGAACATTGAGCTGTGCAGCTTAGAGTCAATTTTTTGGGGCCGTTTTGACAATGTTTTTTATTTAAGTTTTAAAAAGCATTTTTTTTGAGAGCCCATGTTTTAGAACCATCTTTTTTTCAGCCATTTTTTCAACTCATCAAGCAGTCATCCTGACATAATGCATGCTATATACAGGTTTTTTTGGCTATTTTACATGCATGTGTTTGGTTGTGAAACCTCTGATTGGTTTTGAAACCTCTGAATGACACGATCATGGCTTGAGTGCGCGCTGGGGGCAGCCCAGGCGATGAGGAGTTCGCGTTCTTCGCGAAGGCTCTGGGCGGGGCGTTTCTCGTCACGCCCATGGAAGTACCATCGGCGGTACCGTGCATCTACGGCCAGGGACACGTGCACTGTGAGCTAGGCTTCGTCAACAGCGTGGATGCCGCCGGACACTCTGCAGGACATTACATTCTCTTGCGGAGCTGGGCGCCTGGCCCGAGCGCTTACGCCAGCCAGGCCATGCCCATTGCCACGGCTCGCCCAGCCTACGTTATTTCTCTGGACAACTCTGACACGGAGACGAGCCATGCCGGCTCTTCTGCCACGTGTTTTTCTTTCAACGACAATAGCAGCCCCCTCTTTGACGACGACGGTCTGGACTGCGAGCCGGAGAGTCAGGGCGAGACTGAAAGCCCCCCTGCCCGGAGGAAGGAAAATTCACTCGCAACCTTGGAACCCGGATCGCGCTCGAGGCCCACCGCAGGCAAGACACGCGGGAGCACAAGTAGCGCGCATGACTGCTTGCAGTCTGCGGACTCGGCAGACGCTCCTGTAACTGCTTCCGTAGCTTTCGGAGATACCACACGAATCCTGAAGATCAGGCCTCAGTGGCTACACCTCATTCTAGCAGGGCAGAAAACACTGGAGATACGTGGGTCCCCATGCCCGCACGTGGGCTGGGTGACGCTGGCTGCAGCCAGAACCAGGCGCATATATGCTCGAGCTCGATTTGGCACCAGCCACCGCCTCACCGACGAAGAGAGGAGAGCCAACTCTCAGGCACTTTCAAAGCTCTCCTACAGCCACGCTTGGGCTTGGCCCATCGAGGAACTCAAGCTGCTGCCGAGCCCTATCAGAATACCGCGATGGGTCGCCCGTGCTTCGGTGCAATGGATTACCCGAGCGTTGGGAGGCCTTCGACGCGCAACGGCTCGAATCGCAGCGTCTCCCGTCCGCCGCAGCGAACCCGCAGGCAGGGGGCGAGCCTCCGGCTAACATAAGAACCACTCACGCTCTGCCTCGCATTTTCTACGCAGAATGCCCGAGCATGGTTGCGCCCCTGAGAACTGAGGCCGTGTGGCCCCGGATCCGACCGCAGGCAGCCTTCGGGAGCCTGAGAACGACGTTGGCGACGCCGTGCCTGACATACGCAGAGTGTCCGCCAAGGAAGCGGGGTCAAGCGGAGATGTGCTCTGGCACCGATGAACCGTGCGTGTTCAGCGCGCGACACCCTGGCCTGCCAGCGCGGCGTCCGCGGGAGTCGCCTCGCTGTACTTTCTGCAACGAGCCGGCCCTGGCAAACCTTGCCTCTACACCTTCTGGACGCGGCAAATTGACCCGCGCATTGAAGGCGTTCCGACTTGCAACTGACGAGAGGACCTACCATCGGGCCCTGGAGCGCCTACGTCGGGCGGCCCCTGCTCAGGCTGAGCAGATTTGTGCGCGCGCAGCCCTGAAGAAGCGGAGACGGCCACAGCCTGGTCTGGAGGGGAACGGCCGTCCGTGAGCTGACCCATCCATCACGCCATGCCGGAGCACTACAGTTTCACCCCCCACCTTGTTAAGAATTCAGTGCATTTCAGCGCATGTCTATATTCCATGCGCACTAGAGACGACTTCCTTCACCGGCCCGTGCGCGCGAGGCAAACAAGTCTGCTCTGCGCGCAGTCACAGCATTCGGGAGAGAGGGGAGTAGATAGATAGATGGATACATAGAGAGAGAGAGAGAGAGCACACAGCGTATAACCCAATATTAAGTATAGCTAAATATATGTCCATCTTATATATATATATATACATGCATGTTTCAGTCTGATTGTTCCTAAATTCGCATGTCCGTACCGATAACTGACAGCTCAAGCCTAGCAGGGGTGTGCAGACCCTTACCTTTTCTCATGGCCTTGGCACTTGCTGCAGCGGCTGCAGATGCGCCGGGCGCGCTCCTGCCACATATGCGCCTGCCCCCTGCGGCGGCAGAAACCATGGAGGTCGCCGGGCCCTGCCGCTGGTCCGGACCGCCCCTGAACAGTCCACCTGACGGCTACTGCTTTCTGTATGCTTGGCTGGCTTCTCTCGAGCCCGAGAGATGGCAAGCTGTCGCGAAAGACAGCATGGGTTTCATCGTGGACGCCGAAGAAGAAGGGATCTGGAAGGCAAAGGCCCGCAGCCTTCTGGACAAAGTCTTGGCTTTGATGGAGAGCGAAGGTGCACACGACATGGCGGGAAGTCTTCGACGCGGCGCCTATCCCGGGGACGAAGAATTCGCCTTTTACACGCGAGCCTTAGGCGGGGCCTTCCTTCTGACTCCACTAAGCGAAGATAAGGCCTTTCCTGTGATTCATGGGGAGGGCCCTGTGCACTGCGAGCTTGGCTTCGTGTATAGTACTGATGGAGCCGGCTACTCTTCTGGCCATTACGTGCTGCTGCGAAGCTGGGCGCCCGACCAGAAGATTGCACAGCCAGCCGCCAGGATGTCGCTGTCGGACTCGGACTCGGACTCCAACGCAAAGCTTCATTGCCCTCCGGAGAGAGCTGGGGCCCCACCCCTCGCTGATGACGCCGCCAGTGAGACGGATGACGACGCAGCCTGTCACACAGACGAGGGCGACAAGTACGTCTCCGAACATCCCAGCAGCAAACTTGACGACAACGCAGATAATGCCCAGGACGGCGAAGCGTCCAGGTGTGCCGACGCGGAGGGCGGGTCCACGGCCAAGCTCCAGACCACAGTGGCTGCTGCTTGCTGTGATTCCCAGCTAAAGGAAACTCCCAACAGTGACGCGCGCAGCGGCAGCGGCCTTCTGGACGGCGCAGGCGATGCCCGGGACGGCGAAGCGTCCAGGTGTGCCGATGCGGAGGGCGGGTCCCCGGCCAAGCACCAGACCGCCGTGGCTGCTGCTTCTGGCGCGGCGCCCTCCAGCTGTGATTCCCATCTAGAAGAAACTTCACCAACGCCGACAGACAAGCGAGGCAAGCAGCTGCAGACGAGCACGTGGGCCACGGCTGCGATGGCATTTGGACGCACGAGCAGGATTCTGAAAATTAGACCCAAGTGGCTTGGACGCATCCTGTCCGGCGAGAAAACGATAGAGATACGCGGAGAGGCCTGTCCGCACGAAGGTTGGGTGACGCTTGCAGAGGTCAAGACACGAAGAATCCTAGCAAGGGCTCGAATTGGACGGAGCCGCCGCTTGACAGAAACAGACAGGCACGAGAACCACGAAGCGCTCCGAGAAATTTCGTACCCAGCGCCGTGGGCGTGGCCACTGGAGGAAGTCGAGGTCCTGCCTGCCCCGATCAGCATTCCCAGCTGGGTGGCGAAAGGCTCCGTGCGATGGATTACTCGCGAGAGGTGGGAGGCTTTCGACCGCGACCCGGGCCTCGAGGCGGCTCCATTCACCCCAACTGCATGGGCTGCGCGGCAATCGAAGAGGCGATCGGCCGAACAGGGCTGCGAGGATGCAGCCCCTCAGAAGAAGCCCAAGCAGACAATGGCGCGGAAACGCTACGCGGCCGAGCTCTGCTCCACGCAGTCATGCATCTTCAACCCGCAGCGCCCGGGCTCGGCAGCGCGGAGGCCACGCCTGGCCAGCGCGTGCGCGTTTTGCAGCAAGGCGACGATGCAGACTGCGGCCGGTACGCCAGCCGGGCGAGGTCGTCTGACCAAAGCTCTCAAAGCATTCCGCACCTGCAGCAACGGCACTGTGCACGAGAGAGCCCTGAAGCGTCTCCGGCACTGGGCACCTGCCCACGCTGCGCGAATAGAGAAATCGGCTAGCGCGCCTAAACGCCACAAGCCTGTCGAGGGGGGCCAGTGTGCCAGTGACAGTGCAACGTGGGAAAGCTGCAAAGCTCGCCGCAGGCACGTTGCGGCACCTCCCGATGGCCCGGCCAAGAAGGTCTATCGTTCCGCAGTCCTGGCGGATCAGCGCTACGCGAAGAAGCGATTCTACCCAGATGCACCACGGCGCGCCCGAGCGTCAGGGTCGGAACTGCTCGCACCCGTCGACAACGACTGCGACCTCCCACCGGCGAGCCGCTCCGATGTTTCCATCGGCCTGCAGCGCTGGTGCACAGAGGGGGCCTGGGGAATGTGTACAAGCTGTCAGATGCTGCAGATGCGCCCGCTGCGACCTAGAGACCTGCAAGCAGAGGAACACAAGCCCGAGGTTCCTCGTTCCAGCTGCCGCCGCTGCGGCGCGAAACATCCGCACGTGGTGCCGCGCCCAGAGGACGTGCCGCTGCCATTGCGCGAGCTGCCCCACGACGTCGTCCAGGCACTTCGCCCTTTGACGATCGACGTGGGGCCGGTCACCCGCGCGGACAACGGCTATCGCAAAAAGGTTCGCATGACGACCTTTTCCTGGGGGCTGGAGAAGGTCGACGTGAAAGTCGAGAAACTACCTAAGGAGTCACGACGCCTCGCGCGTGCTGCGCTGAAGTTTCTGCGTCGGTCGTCGGACAGTCTGTATGGGCATTTTTACGATCGCCACTGCTCCTTCTTGGACCAGAACGCTTCTGGGCCCACCCCGGAGGTGGCTCGCAGACCACTCCAGTTCATTGAGGAGCCTGGCCTCGAGAACGCTCTCTGGCCGCACTTGTATTGGGATGCTAATATGTGCGAGTCTTACGAGCGCCTCAATCGGCGCCGCTTCCGGCAGCTAGCCGCCACCGAAGATCCGCAGGGCCAGGCCGAGACTAGCGATGCCGACGAGGCAGAAGATGTCGACGATCGCCGTCACAGCATCAAGCGTTCCTTCCTCTGCAAACTGCTCAGTCCCCTCCTTGGGTATGGATCCGACTTCGAGCTTCTGCAGTTCGTGTATGACCTGCATCTGTGGACGGATCTGGGAAGCAAGCGCAACGTGGCGGACGGAACCGCCATGCGGATCATGATGCGCGGACACCCGATGTCTCCGCTCTACTGGAAAGATGTGAAGAACGGCCTGCATGACCTCGTCCGCCAGATAGGCTACCCTCACCTGTATTGGACGCTGGCACCTTACGAGCGCAGCTTTCCGTACCACGCTTACTTGCTCGACGAGATGCAGAAGCTGCTGCGCGAGCGAATGCGACTGCCTGCCTTCGAGTGTCTGCACCTCACGCACACGATGCTGCAGGTAACTCGCAGTCTTCTGGCCGGGCGCGGAAGGCATCGCGGCACGGGCTGGACTCGGCATCTGCTGGGGAAGGGGCAAGGACTAGACGGCGTGCATTTCTTTACGCGCATCGAGTTCCAGGATGGATCCAAGAAAGCCGGTACACAGCAGTATCACGGCTCGGGCCGTCCACATGTGCACGCACTGTTCTGGCTGCGAGATCCTGCGGCAGTTGACCTGGGGTCAATCGCAGCAGCAACTGAAAATCTCCCAGAAGCCGAGAACGATCTCGCCGCATTCGTTCGAGGCTCGCAGCGTGATGATGCCGGCGAGAGCCGCTGGCCGGTGCATGACGGTCCGCCGCAGTTTGACCCCGTCACGGGTGGCTGGACCCTTCCTCACACGCCGGACGACGCCGACCAGGGCGTTCGCGGGTACTTCCTCGACATCATGGACGCTCTGCGCTGCCATCAGGACTTACAGTGCAGACAGGGACGTGGTCTCTTGCTGGCGTACGTGGCCAAGTATGTGGCCAAATGGTCCGACTCCTCGTACGACGAGTGGATGTCGGACGCGAGCAGCGTCACGAGCCTGTGTCGGAAGATACTATTCGAGTATCACCCGCTCGAGCCTGAGATGGTCCTGCAGCTGACGCAAGGTTTGCGTCAGTGGGAGTTTGGAACTGTCCAGACTGGTCGCCGGTCCGTACGTGCGCCGCATCCCTGGGACGAATCAGCTCAGCAGCCCTTGTTCGTACAAAAATACATGGACTGCGCCTGGCGTGGGGAGACCATGTCCCTGCTGGAGTATCTGCGTAAAAGTGGGCCGCACGGTGAGATCGCTGCATGGCTGCGGCAGCGACACGAGGAGGCGCAGAATGCTGGCACGCAGGTGGACCTGGAAGAATTCGTGCGAGGGTACATGATGCGTGGAGAGCAAGTCGTGGCAGTCGATTATTTGTGGCGGCTGAATGACCGCTTCTTCGGTCAATGGTGCATGATGCACCTGCCTTTTCGATCCTTGGAAATCTTCCGGACCGTCCGGGGTGTAGACAGTGTTCCGGATCGTTATCGTGGGTTTGCCACGGCTCTTCTGCTCACAGACAATGCCGATGGTCCACATCGGGGGCACTGGCGTGATCTGGGTAACTTGGTCCGGGACATGCAGTTGGAGGGGCACACGGACGCAATTATCCGGGACACACGGCTGTTTTTGGAGGCTGTCACAGTCGCTGTGAACGCATACATCGACGGCCGCATCGACAAGACGGAGGAAGACAGTGTGGGCAAGCCTGTGGAGCAAGCTCGCCTTGGCCTGTTCGAAGGCCAGCAGCTGCTGTTTTTCAACGCCATACAGGAGCGAGTGACTCGCTCCCTGCAAGCACAGCAAGCGACGGACGACACAGACGTTGAACGCATCTTCTCGCAGCTCCGGGATCTGCAAAACCGGCCCTTGATTTGCTCCGGCAGGCCGGGCACGGGGAAGACGACGGTGGCCTTGGAATGTGCACAGTGTGCACTGGCCGATGGCGCGGCAGTGCTGGTGACCTGTCCCACAGCTCGGATGGCAGGCCGCGTGCGCCAGCGGCTTGGCGACCACGCCAATTTGGTTGTCGACACGGCTGCAGCCGCGTTTCAATTTCATCTGCCTGAGCAGGAGGCGGCGTACGTCTTGTGCGGATACACGCTGGTAATTGTCGACGAATACTCGCAACTCGGTCTGGAAGACTTTGAGCGCGTTCTCCGGCTGTGGAGCATGGCGGACCGTGTTCCTGCGATGGTTTTCCTCGGAGATAAGTACCAGCTGCCGGGCGTGGCACCACAGCGGCCGTGGGAAAGCACGGCCTGGAAGTCGTGTCAAAGGATGGAGCTTGCCAAAATCTATCGCAGTCATGACCCTGCTTTTCTGCAAACGCTGGCTTTGCTGCGATCCAGCATGCCAACGAAGACAGAGGTGAATAAAATCTGCCGCGGCCATAAGGCCTGGTCGGGCAAAGAGCCCACTGTGGAAGACATGGAGCGACTCCTTCACGAGTATCCCACGGCCACATATGTTGCGGCCACAAGGAGTGGGGTCGCTTTGATCAACAAGCTCGCCCTGGCAGCTTTGTACCCTGGCGTCAGCCCCGCAGCCGTGCTGCCCGGCGCTTATGAGGACAACCCGGAAAATTTCAACAACAGTTCCTTGCGCCTCGACCGACAGCCTGCGCCTACCGATGTGGAGATTTACTTGGGCGCTCGCATCTACCTCACACGGAATGTTCGGAAGACGGATGACTTTGTCAATGGCATGGGCTGTACTGTTCTGGAGTACGAGGCGGCCACCCGAGTGCTGTGGGTGCGAACGGACACCGGAAAGCGACTGCCCGTCACCCCCTGGCATGATCCGGAATTTGCAGGGCTGGTCTACTATCCACTTCGCTTGGGCTACTGCAGCACCATCGCAAAAGTGCAAGGCGACGAATTCTCTTTCATCATTATCTACTTGGACGTGCCAAACTTGCCGGCAGTAGGCTACACTGCGCTGAGCCGGGTGAAAGATGCTCAATCCTATCTTCTGGGCGGCGTGCTTACCCCGGAGCATTTCACCCCTGTAACACTGCGATGAACCTATAGTGGCATGGGCGGCACTGTCAGATGCTCGTCACCGGCGCTGCTTAGGGATGACTTCTCGCTCGCGGCGAAGCCTGCGAGCGTGTCTCGCCGACTTGCGGATTTGTACGGCGCGAGGAAAATCAAATCTGCATTGCTTGCGTGCTCCATTGTACTTTGAATGTTATGGCAGGGACGGCTCTTCAGAGAGAGCGGGAAAGACAGGAGAGGGAGACAGAGAGAGAGAAGGAGAGAGGGAGAGAAAGAGATGGGCGATGGGAGGGAGAGAGAGAGAGAGAGAGAGAGAGAGAGAGAGAGAGAGAGAGAGAGAGAAGGAAGTGCGTGTGACAAAGAGAAACTCAGTCTGTGTGGTTCGATCGGCATGGTTACCTCGTTTGGCTCACAGAGGCTCCAGTCGGGCGTCTTAGCAGTAGCCGAGGTAGCCAATTGCAAGATGAGCAGCAGACACGTCCATCTGTACTTGCCTGCGCCCCGCCGGGTTGCCACCAGGGTTAGCCTCCGCAACGGTTGCCCCCGCCAGGGTTGGCCTTGCCAGGGTTGCCTTGCCCCCGTTGCCCCCGCCAGCGTTGCCCCCGCCTGGGTTGCCCCCGCCATTGCCTGCTTCCTGGCCAGAAAAACGAGGCAACATTTCGGCACAGCTACCCAGCCCTGGCCTGCTTCTTGATGTGTTCAACACTTCCCCGCCAGGGTTGCCCCCGCCAGGGTTACCCCCACAGCGTTGCCCCTCAGGTCACGTATACTCAGGAATTGTGTGTGACGGCCCAGCCATCTTATGAAGGAAACATAGGCCTCCTTTCGTCTCGAAGTGCCATGTGACCCCAGATGCTTCTTCGTCCCTCTCTATGAAGGGCCCTGCCAAAGTTCTCTGTAAGTTGCCCTCGCCAGGGTTGCCGCCGCCAGGGTTGCCCCCGCCAGGGTTGGTTGCTACTCGGGAAGTACCGGAAGCCGAAATGTCTGTTTCTGTTGCTCTCTCTCTCTTGCCCAACACTCTCGCCCTCCCTCCCTCTCCCTCATCCTCTCCTCCTGGCTTCCGAGCTCTCGACTGGCCGTTGCTCAGGCTGTTGCGAGCTTATGGCCAGCGCAAGAAAACAAAGGACGGTGACTGACTTGACAACCGCACTTGAGTCTGCTGAGGTGGGACTCCCTGTTCCCCCGGCCTCTCCGTGTCGCTGCAGCGCTCTTTCCAGGACACAGCTCTGGTCGAAGAACCGCCTGCACGCATATGCATCTTCTGCATGCTCATGTGACTTGCAGCTGTTCGTGCTGGCAGCATGCACTCATCAACCTGTGGTTTGCTGGTTTTCGTGTTCAAGGCTTGGCGAGGCTGCAGTCAGAACATTGTGCTGTCGTGTCGGGGCACAGACCTCCAGTTGCCCCATGTGGCGTCACATGTTTTGCGCAGTCTGAGCTTTGAAGTGCAGGCCTAGGCTCCGAGCAGGCATGTCTCAGAACAGGGTGCTGTCCAGGAGCCCGCGGAGCGTGCTGATGGCCCGGCCGGAGTGCAAATTCTGCATAGCGAGCTGCAGGGAGGCAATGTGCTCTTCTGAAAGAAGCTCCTGGCGCCACTGTTCACGGCCTAGGGCGTGGTGTAACAGGCAGGCAATCTCCAGCAGGGGGCATGTGCGGGCTTCCCGACGCCAGGCCAGCGCCTCATTGCGCTTCATGTTCAACCAGATGCACCGTATCCACCGACCTGCGCGTGCTCCCAAAACGATTTTGTCGCCCGGGAACCAAATCCGGCCAAGCTCCAGGCTCTTCGCGTTGATCTCCTCCTTCAGCAGGGCTTGTACTGGCTTCAGTTCCCACGGCTTACGTTGGTAGGGTGGAAGGCCGTGTGAGCACAGAGTCCACGCAAATGCAAACGTGGAACGGAAGGTGCTCTGCGCGATGCCTGCTGCACGCATCTCGCGGCGAATGGCGGCCAAGACGTACTGCCCAGAAAACTTCTTGGGGCAGTCGTAGGCTGCATGGCAGAGAAACCCCACGCGCAGCATGCACTGGTACTTGGCCGGATCTCCTGGCGACTCACACACCGCCTGCTGGCATTTTTCTGCCATTGCAGTTGCCAGGCCACGGACGTTGAGCGTTGGCACGCGAAGCATGTACCGCAAATATTCTGGAGTCCTATCCTCACACAGGGAAAACCGAATCCTGTCTTCCTGCTCGAGTTCTTTCTTTGGCTGCGCGGCGCCCTCGAGGTCCAAAGCTGCCACAGCCGGCTCCGTGTGGTCCAGGAACTCGATCAGGTCGGCGTTCAAGGTCACGAAGACTGTGTCGCCATCCGAATCTCCGCCAGACAGCGCCGTGACGCCAGGCCCACGCACTGTGCAGACGATGCAGTTCCTCGGCGGGGCGCGTTGGTGGGCAGGCCATTCCTTTGCCTCCCATACCTGGATGTCTCCCGGTTGCACGACCGGGCTGCGCCACACGGCAACCCTACCCACGATGTTGACGCCGTTCGCGAAGACATAGCACTGCTTGTCCTTCGAGCTAGGCCGTTCCACAGGGTGTGTGCGGGGTTAGTTAGGGTTTTGCAGAGATGCCGCCTGCCTCAAGTCCCTTCCAGATGTCGGGCAGCGATGTCAGAACCCATGCGCCTCCGGGCAGGACGAGCTGAGGGTCGTGTCTGCACTGCGTCAGGAGGCCGTTGAATGCGCCACCGCCTCCGAGAACTGCCCGCTTGGTTCCCCGCGCCAAGTCCCACGGGTGCATCTCCTCGACTTCCTTGGTGAGCTGGGCCAGATCGCTCTCCACCTCTTCTTCATCGGCTGCGGCTCGGACTGTGACCTCGTGTTTCCCGACCCGATTGACAAACTGCCGTTCCTCGTTCATCTCCGCCTGGCGTTTGTCGCCCCGTGTGGGGGCTGGCGGAGACAAACGCTTCACGGCTTCTGCTGGAGCTTCGAGAAGGCTGTTCTTGATGCCCCATGCCATGCTCGCGAAGTGAAGCACGGTGGCAGCTTGCAGTGTCTGAAGCCTGGGCAGCTGGACATGACTATAAACTCGTGCTCTCAACCCCCTCTGCTCATGTACACGTGTCCTACGTTCTTGCTTTTCCAGACGCTGTAGGCTAATGTTATGGTACTGTTCTTCACTAATTGAAAGACAACGGTCCACCAGCTATATGATGTCTGGCCAGCGGAGCGGCAATGTGTCCAGCAGGCCCAGCGCGACCACACGGGCAGCCTCTGTCTTATAGGCCATAGCCCGCATGGCGAGCGCGGCTGTGGTTTGACAGTTTATCCGCGCGGCCTGCATGGCTGCCTCCGTGTTCTGTGTTAGGTCGAGCCCGAGGTGCTCTGACGAGACAGGGCTCAGGTAGTGCATGTGCAGTTTGCTGCAGCTCCTCCGGATGTGGAGCCCGTCTTTTCTGCGGCAGTCGATCATCAGCATGCCTTTCACGAGCACATGCCACAATGGCCCGACGCGGAGAAGGCCACGGAACTGTGTCGGCGAGTACGAGTTGATGTCAGTCTCGCTCTTGATGAGGCCCAGCCGCACAGCCGCCGCCGTGCCCACATCAGACGCGCCGTCCGTGGTCGGGTCCTGGGTTCGGTCCTCCCCGGGGTAGTCGTCTCCACTCGGAACCCACATTGTGGCACCACACACGGAGTGCTGGGCGACAGCAAGAGTGGTAATCTGCTGTAGGCCTCTTGCACATTCTGGGCGGCCGTCAGCAGGCGCATGGCGGAGACGCTCTGCCGCAGAGGCTGGCTGGCGTAGTAGGTCAGGCCATCCTCTTTGCCCACTACGGCTTGCAGCGTCGGCCGCACTGTGTCCGCGCGGACTCCCTGGATGATCAGTGGCACCAGCTGCTCCGGTTTGCGCTTCCCGCATTTCCAGTCCACACTAGCTATGTCTCCTATCTCACGGGAGAGCCTACTACTGTCCAGCTCTGTTGGGAGAACAGCTTGCATGTCCGCGGGCACGAAGCGCACAGGCGCCGACTTGGAGCCTAGCCGCCGCCGCTTCAGGTCCGGAGCGACAGTGGCGCTCACATCCTCGCCCCCGGCATCAACAGTGTCCTCCTCGGCATCCCAGTCAACATCACTGCCGGGGTCGCTGGCCTGGCGCTCTGGAGCGGGCAGTACCTGGTAGACGTACAAGCCGACTTCCTGCACAAGCTTGGCACGCTCCAGCGCGGGCAGCCTCGCGGGGCGTCTCACGCGCAGATGTGTGCAGTGTACTTATTTTGAACCTTTTACACATCTTTACAGTCCAAACAAGGAGGGGTGCACCGTTTCCATTGTTGCACGCGCCTGCCTTGCGAAGGGCTTTAGCGGTCCGGCCAGCTTCCACGGCATTTTGGCTGGACGCCCGTTCAGGAACTGCGTCAGCGTCGAGGGCGCCAGCTGTGCCAAGGCCTTGCGCCACGCAGCCTTCTCGAACGTGCTGCCGGTGCCTCGCAGGAAGGAGGACTCACTGGCCGCTTCGTCCTGCAGCCCCACCCAGAAGGAGTCCAGCACAACCAGCTCATGCTCCGGGCCTACTTTCCGCGGCAACATCTCTCTGGCTGGCCCCGACTACACCAAAGAGAAAAAGAACCTTGCAAGTTCTTTCAGAAGAAAAGGGGCGCAGCAGGACTACGCAGTGTCGCTTTAAGCAGCATGACAGAATCATGACAAACGGAACTGCCCGCATGCTTCAAAAAACACAAAGCTTGGAAGTCCAAGGTCTTCTTCAACAAGACTTGACGAGAACACCAGACTCTTGCAGATGCAAGGAGGTTGGCCCCCCCAGGAAACGCTGATCTCCCAGCTCCTGCTGCAATTGCCGAAATCCTTGCCCGGGGATACCCCTGCGCAACAAGCCCCGGCCTGGACGGGTGCGACCACGCCGCCCCCCGGCCTGGTCAGGCAAGATGCTTGCCGCTCCCCGGCCCTTCATGGCCCTTCCAAGCGAGAAAATACGGTGAACTGGAGAAAAAGACAGGCCCCGGCCTCGACGAGTGCGGCCGCACCGCCCTCCGGCCTTGACAGGCGAGATGCTTCAGAAGCGAGAAATACGGTGAACTGGAGAAAAAGACAGGCCCCGGCCTCGACGAGTGCGGCCGCGCCGCCCTCCGGCCTTGACAGGCGAGATGCTTGAGAAAAGTGATCTATGAAACGACACAATCGAAAAGGCCGCGGCCTCGACGAGTGCGGCTGTGCCGCCCCCCGGCCTTGCCGAGCCAGAGTCTCGAAGTCCACTCCCTCGCCCATCCACGCGCGTCACCAGACGCCGAGATGTGCGTGCAGGGCGCTCTTCGACCCAGGGGTTCCTGCAAGCGTCGGCTTCTGGCTCTTCTGCGCTGGGAACCTGGAGGTAGAGCTTACTTATGTATCAACAGGTGCTCTTCCAATATAACAAAAGCCTCTTCGAAGATCCTCAGCGATGTACGCTCGTAGATCCCTGGCTAAGGACGGACCGAAGCGCTTGCCGGCAGGGGCGGCCGAGCCTGAAATCTGCAACAATGGGGGGGTCCGTGCTGCCATATGAATTCCCGCTAAAATCACCGGGGGGCGAGCGCTTTGGGGCCTTGCGCTGGGAATCGAGCACTTTCGGGCTGATCCTTTTGTCCGAGGGCCGCCCCCCCATTCGGGCCAAGCGCTGAGCTCTGGACCCCCTTCATATAGGTATAGAACAAATTCCTCCTGGGCAGGTCGGAGGTCTGGAACCCCTTCACATAGGTAGAGCCAATTCCTCCTGGGCAGGTCTGAGCTCCAAACCCCTTCATATAGGTAGAACAAACTCCTCCTGAACAGGTGAGCTCTGGAAGCCCTTCATACAAGTAGAACAAATTCCTCCTAGGCAGGTCTGTGCTCCGGACCCCTTCTTTTTGGTAGCAAATTCTGGGCAGGTTTGAGCTCCGGACCCCTTCATACAGGTAGAACGAATTCCTCCTCTGAGCTCTGGAACCTTGAACAAATTCCTCCTGCGCAGGTCTGAGCCCTGGAACCCCCTCATATAGGGAGAACAAATTCCTGATGCAGGCTGCCCCCCCCCCCAACGCCAAGCTTGCTTCCGCCAGCTTGCCCCGATTGGCCCTGCCATTCGCAGGGCCCGTCAGGGTTGTGCCAGTGCCCCCGCCAGGTTTGCCCCCGCAAGCCAGGGTTGCCCCCCGCCAGGCCCCCGCCATGGTTGCCTGCCAGGGTTGCTCCTTCGAGTTGCCCCCACCAAAGTTGCCCGCCAGGGTTGCCCACCAGGGGCCACTCTCAATGCACACCTAGAGGAGCCCCGCCGCATTCCCTCCATCTCATCCGGGTTATTCCGGAGTCCTGCGACCAACATGGCTCGGGTTGGAAAAACCGACACGCCCCCGCCAGATTTGCCCCAGCAGGGTTGCCGCCGTCAGGGTTGCCCCCGCCAGGGTTGCCCCCGCCAGGGTTGCCCCCCGCCAGGGTGGTTGCCCTATACCAGTTGCGCCCAAAATTCCTTTCCAACTTTCCAGCTTCGCTTTTGGCAGGGTTGCCCTCGCTAGGGTGACAGGTTTGCCCCCGCCAGGGTTGCCCACCAGGTCTGCCCCGCCAGGGTTGCCCTTGTGAGGGTTGTCCCTGCCAGGGTTTCCCCCGCCCCCTCCCCCTTCAGGGTTGCCCCGCCACCAACCCCGGCACCATGTCGCCTACTTGTGCACCTTCTCAGTGACGGCCCTCCCAAGACAACCTGGTCCTCCCTGCGCGCTTGCAAGGCTTCGTCGTCCTTCTCTATGAAGGAACCACAAGCTCCCTGCCAAAGTACTCTATTATTCCGCCAGGGTGCCGGCAATGTTGCCCTCGCCGGGGTTGCACGCCAGGGTTGCGCCTGCCAGGGCTGCCCCCGCCGCATTCCCTCCATCTCATCCGGGTTATTCCGGAGTCCTGCGACCAACATGGCTCGGGTTGGAAAAACCGACACGGGGCTTAGCTATGGCCTTCAAAGTGTCTTAAACGTGTAGGCTCAAGCAACAGCAGCAGTACGTCCCATCCCGGCCATCGAGGAGAGAGGAGGTGAAAGCCCCCTTGATAGGGGGGCGGGGGGTAGACCGCTCTAAACCCGAAAAAGGCGGCAGTTTGGGTGGTTGGGGTGGGATCCGCTGCACCGAGGCGGCCCGACCCGCCACCACTCCCTGGCGCGGGTCGGGACCGCGGCACTTTGGAACACCCTAAACCCTAAACCCTAAACCCTAAACCCTAAACCCTAAACCCTAAACCCTAAACCCTAAACCCTAAACCCTAAACCCTAAACCCTAAACCCTAAACCCTAACCCTAAACCCTAAACCCTAAACCCTCACTTCAAGTTTTAAGGGTTAGGGTTTCAGGGGCTAAAAGGTTACTTCGGGCTTCAGGATCCTGGGCCCGGAAAAGGCTCCCCAGCCCGGCCCCTAAAGTCAGGGCGGCTCACTGAAGCAGGGGTTAGGGTTTAGGGTTTGGGGTTTAGGGTTTAGGGTTTAGGGTTTGGGGTTTAGGGTTTCGGGTTTAGGGTTTAGGAAAAGTTACCAGGTGTGGCTTCAGGCTCTCTGAGGGGTGTGGAAAGGCATGAAGTTTTTCGGGTTTAGGGTTTAGGGATAGGGTTTAGGGTTGAGGGTTCAGGGTTGAGGGTTTAGGTTTAGGGTTTAGAGTTCAGGGTTACCGGGGGTATATAGCCCACCTGAAATGGGCCTAGGTTCAGACACGACCCACATACTGAACCATAACTTGGATCAGCTGCAGGGACCGTTTGGAAAATCTTTTGGTAAAGTACGGGCCGGAATAACTACTATACCACTCCAAGCCCTATTCTAAATATTTAGGCCCCTATATCAATGACCTGCGTGAGTTTGCTTTCTTTATAGTCATAGACGAGCTTACCGAACCCTAAACACCTAAACCTTACATAAACCCCCTATCAACACTAAACCCTAAGCCCCCTATCAACTCCATCAGGCCTATCAACCCTAACCCTAAACCTTAAACCCTAAACCCTAAACCCTAAACCTTACACCGCGAGAGGCAACACTCGCGAAGCCTCGTGCAGTCCTTCGCCCACGGTGGCACAAGTCTCCTGGCGGAGGGGGTTCCTAGCGGTTTTATGGGTTTAGGGTTTAGGATTGAGGTTTTAGGGTTTAGAGTTTAGGGTTTAGGGGTTTAGGGTTTAGGATTGAGGTTTTAGGGTTTAGAGGTTAGGGCATGCCGAAGTTTCGAAAGTGCCGGCCTGAACTCTAAGCCCTAAGCCCTTAAGCCCCAAGCTTATAGGGCTTATAGGGTTCGGGGACGCACTGACGTGCAGGGTGTTGATGGCTACCCGAATCAGCCCGCCCGCAAGCCATACAAGACCCTTAGAAGCCCGAAAGCCTGAACCCCTAACGCCTCAGCCCTAACCCTCCCTAAATCCTATATCCCTAAACCCTAAATCCTTTATCCCTAAACCCTAAACCCTAAACCCTAAAGGGCCTGGA